ATGTAGTTTGATGCTTTATCATATAATCTGTCCTATAGTTTAAAAATTTTGTATAACCCCCTTGTAGTTTGGATTAATGTGTCACCGTTAGTTTTTTCATTAAAACTAATGGTCAATAGTAAAAAAATCAAAATCAAACTAATAAATTAACAAATTTATCCTTTCATTACTTCTTTTTTTCCCCTCCAAACATAAAAAAGAAGAAATTGAAATAATAAAAAATAGATAAATAAGAACTAGAAAATACCATTAAAGATTTGGTTTACAAACCTATAATGATATATGTAGTACAAAAGATTTGGTATTTTTTTGTTTTATATTTCCTTTCCATCTTTTTTGTTTCCTATTTATTTATTTTATATTTCCCTTCCACCTCTTCTGTATTTGAAGAAAATTAATGCCTTGTTTGGATTGCTGTTTTTCGTTGAAAAATTACGTCGTTTTCCGAAATCACATTTCCCTATTACCTTTTTCCCTCACATACATCAAATCGTTGCAGTAATTTTTCCATGAAAAATCATGAAAAATGCAATCCAAACACAACCTAAGATTTTGCAGGTCAAACTATAGGTTTCCAAAATTATCTCTTCTCTTCAGAGAGAGAGAGAGAGAGGGAAAAAAAGAAAAAAGAAAAAAATAGTAAAAGGGTGAATTTAAATTATGAGGAGATTATATATCGATTTTAAATCATAAGGGAATTATGTGGTAAGCACCCAATTATAGAGGGGTAAAAGGTAATTTACTGTTTTTTTTTTTTTTTTTGTAATGAAGAATGTTTCATTAAATAGCCCAAAAACCCGGACTAATTGAGTATGGCTTCCTTGCAGAGAATGTGGTAAATGTCTTTGGAAAGTTAATCCATCTAATTCTTGAATGGATTCTTACCATGCAACTGAGCCAAATCTTTTGGGACAATCCGGAAGGAATTTTCTGATTTTCAAAAAGAAAAGAGATAATTTCAAAATCCTCCCTTGAGGTTTTTGATAATTTCATTCAGCTTCTTCCACATTTAGAAAATTACACTCATTTGATGTAATAAAATCATTATAATGTCCTCTACTTAACCTAAATCCTATGGCAGCGATGTATAAAACTAAAAAAGAAATAAGAACTGCCACCACACCCCGTCTTCCCCTCCAACCAATGCCACCCTTTTTTTTTTAATCTTTCTATTTCCTTTCCTTGTTTGTTCCTAATAACTTTTTTCTTATACTACCATCAACTAGATCACTGCCCAAACTCACCGCCTATCTATTTCCAAAATTTTTCTCCTTTTTTCTTTTCTGATTCTTGCTGTAGTTTGCACATATTGGAGAATCAAAATTGCCAAAATTACAAGTTGATGGAAAGGATACCAAAGTCAAATTAGATTGACATGAAGGACATGGTAGTGATAGGCGTGAAAAATTTGAAATTGATGGTTGCAAGAGAATGAAGTAGGGCATGCTATGAATATGCATCAGGATAATAATATCTTCACTTGGGATTTTCTTTTTTCTAATTTGCAGCAGTTGGACGTGTTTTAGCTTGCCTGTAGAGATTAATTTGCTCTCTGCCCCAGGCCCTGATGGAGTTTGGGGTTGTTCTTGGTATTGGTATCAATTAGGGTGGGCGCGGGTCGGGTACCCGTCCCATTCATCATTTGGTTGATCCGACCCGCACCTTATGGGTCAGTCATTTTCTGACCGTTACCCGTCCCGAATATCAGGGTACCTGCTGAGATAGTGTCTTGTGAAGGTGATAGGCATTGTGCTCAGAGTTTGGGATATAAGACTAGTCGTGTTAAATTTAAAGCTATCAATTGACGCTTTTAGGTTGTACAAAAGCTCTGGATGGTGTTTTAGGAGGTGGTTATAGTAGATTGGGTGGAAGTATTCGGGCAGAGGCTGCCGTTCAAATGTGTTTGGATTGTTTATTATTTCACTTTATTTACACCTTATTTGCATTCATTGATTTGCTTGCATCATCAACATATTTTCCAATCACCTTTTTATCTCACATACATCATATCAAAAAAGTGTTACAGTATTTTTTGAGAAAATTGTCTCAAATAATTTACAATCCAAACACTAGGGATTAAGTTGAGTGTTTACTTCATTGAATAAGCTTTTGGGATTGCAATCAAATATGGCTAAACCATTTTTTCCTTTTTTAGTTAATATATAATTCTAACAAAGGGGTATTTTAGGATATTTTATGATACATCTAGTCTACTGGGTCTATATTGTTACTTAAAACCTAAAAATAAGGGAGGTTGGTGTAATTTTCAGAAATCTCGAGTTAGGTTTCTGAAATTTGGAATCTGAAATCTGAATCTATTGAATTATTAAATATTAAGTATTAAATCTAATACATTTGAATGGATATCACATTCCGTGATAAGTGAATAATTTATTATTTAATTTTGGGAGAAAGTTTTGTCTAAGAAATTCAGCGCCACTTGATTGATTCAGATATTTAATTTTTAGTTATCAAATGATTTGAATATGTTAAAATCTGAATTCATTCAATTTAAATATTGAATTAGATTATCAAACAAGGCCTTAAACTCTAAAAATAAGGGAGATCATAATTTTCTAAATCTGAGAAGAGCTGAATGAAATTGTCAGAAACCTCGAGGTAGGTTTCTGAAATTATCCCTCTTCCGAAGAACGCTGAAGTCCAACTGATGTGTCAAAGACCAAACTAACAACATTTATTATTATTCATCGTCATGTGCTATACGACTTTGCTGATCTTTTGGGAAACTTTTAATGGATTGGACAGTCCCAAGTCTTTTCTGAAGTGCAACTGTGGAATCTTACTTGATTTAGGTGAAACATATCTAATCACTCTGGCAAATGCCTTCTGGTGCTCTTACGAGCTACTTTGTGGAAATGACAGTAATGAATATATGGTCAAATAATGATTTACTACTAATATAAATAAAGTGAAGAGTGAATCAAGCATTTCTTCATTTTTTTGCTTATGAAAAAAGAGTGTGCTTTCTCTAGGGGGTGCCTGCAGGTGTAACTACAAGAATATCTAATGATTTTCTTTTCCTACATTTTGCTGCACTCTTTCATTGGGTTCTTGAAATAATACTCTATTCTGCAGAGGGTTTGTTTTTCCCAGACAAACATGCATAAGAATCAAGAGTATATGTTTGGATTGCAATTTTTCTTTAGACACATTTTTCAATCATCTTTTTATCTCACATATATTAAATCGCTACAGTAATTGTTCTACAAAAGATCCAGAAAAATTCATTTTTCTTGCCTTACATTCTTGTGCCTAAACTTCTGCAGAAGAATCTTTATAGCCATTCGAACAGAGAATTTATGATTATCACTGGTAGTTTATTGAAATACTACTGTGGATGATTAACTAGAAACTGTAGAAAATCGCATGAACTTGTTGAAATCCCAAAGCTGATAAAAGATTACTTAGTTCACTTTTTTCACACTTTTTCCCTGTATTCAACCATGCATCCCTGGTTAAGGAAACAAATAAACATCAAATCGTTTTCTCCAAAGTGGAAGATGAAAGATACATCATTTTTGGGTGCTGTGGCAATTGGATTGCACAATGTAGGTCCAACTGCCCTTTAATCAAACCATGTGAAAAACCCTTTTGAAAATTGACTTTGGACTTGTCAAATTTACTCAAAACAACCACCAATTGCTTCCTAAATTAGGTCCCATCAGAAAGAGGCCTTGACCACCAAAGCAATTCATATCATACTTTTTTTTTTTATGTACATCTTTCCCCTCGTGGATCATGGAACTCCTTTACTCTTTTGAGCTGTTAACTGGCCCCATAGATTTAGAACGATGGAAAACATACTCTATTGTCTGCTTATCCATTTTTTGACATCAAAATTACTTGCATTTTTTTGGTGCTTGAAAAGCCAATGGTTAACAATTGCTGCCTCCTGTCCTTTCTTTCCGGCAGTGCATATAAAACTTGTTTGGCCGAAGTCCAAACACTGCTACTTTTAGTTTCTTTTATCTTTGTAGGCAAAGGCAGAACACATAAAACTAGTGAAATAAACTGAAATTAGCCACTACATGTCATAATTCTCTGCTATCATTGTTGACTAATTTGCTGGGCTCCCTTTTATCTCTTTATTCTTGATGCATGCCCCCCGAACATAGAGATTAATCATATCAGAAAATGTAGTGTGATGTGATCATATTCTCAGTTCTCAATTTCTGGAACATGCTTCGACCCTATAAAATTGGCAACTGCTACAAGCTTTTAAAGCTCAGTTAAAGGAGACCCCAGTAGGACCAAAAATGCCCTGTAAACAAACACACAAAAGTCTCAGCACCATCAAAACATATCCAAGCATGAGTCTGAAGCGCAGAAAGCATCAAGTCATGATTGCTTACTGGTGTATGCAGTCATCGTATTTGCCGCTCTGTGAGGACCATTTCAATCTTGTAAGCAACAGGCAATAGTCAGATCTGACAACATTTGAGTCTGATCAAACCCATTCTAGTGAATTTTCTAAAACTGATGAGCCAGGAAATTTGAAGTTTTTAAGGTCCATTTGAGCTGGATGTGTACTGCTTCTGTCACAACTCACAAGTACACCTGCAGAATGATCCAGTAGTTGTTTCTTGAAATATGCCATAGAATGGCCTTTAGAAGAAGGATGTGTGTATCTTGAAAGCCACTTGCCATACTCTGGCTCCAGAAGTTAAGGATGCTTGGACAGAAAGACAGCTAAAAATAAAAAATATGTTGCCATCTAAATATGTTAACCAAGTAATGAAATCTCCTACTTTCTTTTCGTTAAAAAGAAAAAGAAAAAAAAAACTCAAAGAAAAGAAGGAGTACTCCTGGAAAATGGCACCTGCAAATTTCAAAAATTTACAGGAGCTGTGCCTTGTTGTGTCTCAGTAGTGAATTATGTCGCAATTTTCCAAGCATTAAACTGATTATTCAACTTGTGCCCGTCTCATGGTTATAGCTAGCACGAATTAAACTGGTCCCTGTCTAGAATCAAGCAGTTAAGATAGTCAATAATGTGATTTTTATGTACAAGGGCTATATATTTACAAAGTTCGTGTTACAGGGCTGTTCCATTTTTTTGTGTGTGTGTTTCTATCCATAGTAAAACAATGAAAGTACCAATAAATCATGTAATATTTCAGCTGAAAATATGCAACATGTTCCCCCTAACCCAACCAATACAAACCCCCATGAGAGCCAGAACAGAAAGGAACATGACTATCAAGAACTCAAGTCCACTGAACTGTGTGAGCTACCATCTTCCATCCGAATCCATGACCTGATAGAGAAAGGCTGTTCAGTTATCTCTAGAATCCTAGACCCCCGAGGCCAGTTTCCATAGCCACCATAGCCACTGTGCCGAGCGTAGCACAACCACAGCTGCTTGTATGGGCAGCACCAGTCCAATCCATGATTGTGACCTACAAAAACCGCCTGCAATATGCAGACACACAAAAAAAATGAGGCTGAAGTTCCACAGTCATATCCCACTCAAAAGGCTTCAAGGTTATAACTGGGCAAATTGGATGAATGCCAATGCTATCAGGATCAATGAGTTGCTGTGATTAACTATTAAGCTAAAAGGCCAAAAAAAAATGAATTATAGTTCAAGACTAGAGATTTGTGATGAATTATACTTCAAAGACTAGAGATTTGTGCTTATAAGTGAATCAGTTTTTAACTCTAGAAAATCGTTGTAAATGCAGTGAGAGAGGGATATCTGCAAGTGTGCTTAGGACCCACAGACAGACAGAGAGAGAATGAGAACTTGTGCGAACAGGAGAGGGAGGGAAGCAAGCAGGGCAGAGGTAGAGATGCAAATTTTAATCAGGCAGAAAAAAGGGCTTGTTTTCAAGAAATCAGCAGTCAAAAAGAGCAAACATATAGACACTGGCCTTGCAGCTTAAATGTTTCCTGAGACTCTGTTGAAAGGAAAATGTTGTGTGCTTCTGAAGTAGGTTGAATGTAGCCTAAAAAAACCCAAAAAGTCATCTATAAGACGAGGTTCCTGGGACATTCTATTCAAATTTCCAACATATGGAGGATAAATACATATTGTCCCATCTTTTCAATCCATTCAAGTCTCGATTCCAATATTTCCAGAAGATATGCTGTGATCTCTTCACTGGGCTTTTAGGAAGTGTAAGAAGAGCATGAGGGCAACAGACAAAAGTTAGATCCCAAGGGCAGGAAAACATTTCAGGTGTAACTCCATCACATCCTTATGTGTAAAAGTAGCATTATTTTACCTAGTGTAGAAGTTCAGAAAATTTTATCTTGATTTCATGTCTAGAAAGGTTAGATATTGAGTATTCAAACTCCAAGCGGATGTTTGTTGGTGTGTGGAAGTGATGTAAACTTTTCTGTTAAGTGTAGAAGTACAAAATATGCAAATAAATACTAAAAAGAGGGTGGAAGTAAAAGAATAGAAAATCTGCAATTTTGCTAACCTTAACAGAGGGCCTTGCTTCAAGAAGTTTCATCATGCCCATTTCTGCTTCTTGAGCAGCAACACTCTCGTTAAACATTGAACCCACGCACTTGCCTTTGAGAAACCTTGGAGCTGCCCGCTTATAGGCTTGACTTGGTATGTGCCAAAACATTATCTCTGGCACCCTGTTAAATGCTATCCAGTGTGAAGAAGAATATAGATTACCTAAATTAGCTTTTCTGTTTGCACACCATACACAGCCAAGAGAAAAGAACCAAAAGGTAAAATCAACTAATGTGCCTGATGTGTGAATTTAAAAGATTAATATTCTAAAATCCCTTTCCCATCCTTCCACATTAGCAACCAACACCATGATTGCAAATACTATTCAAACTTACAAAACCTGTTCTACAAAACCTCTATTGCATCAAGTGACATGCATTTGGTGCATAGTAGTTGTTTAAAACACAGATCAGAGTTTCATCTTTGACAACCTTGACTCAGGGTTGACCTGCTGAGACGTCTGATTGAACCAATTTGCTTGGGAACTAGATAAAACCTCTGGGTATGATCCACCACCAGAATCCAAGAAGTACATTAAGGCCAATGTGACTTCAGGGTCACTTGATGATGACAGTTTGAGAACATAGTTGGAAACGCTTGGCCATAAATTACTTGGCCCACTCTTGGAGTATGATAATGAGTTATGTTGGATCTCATTAGTCATCAGCTCCAAGCGTGGTGTGCCTCTGAAGCTACAATTTTTGCCTCCTGAGACATACCAAAGGACATATCATCAAATTTAGTTTCTGCATTTGTAATCAAATCTAATTTGTGCAAACCATTTGATTATTAGTTTTGCAGATTGATCAATTGCCATTTTCCAATTGCATAAGGGAAATTAAGGGGAAGAGGAAAAACAGATTTAAAGATGTATACTTTTGTGTGTATGCCATAACTGTCCATTTTACTGCAGTTTACCAGATTCTACAGACAGAATGGATACTCTGGATTTTTACACTTCTCTAAACACACTTAAGCAAGCAGAGTGCCACTTAGCTATACAAGTTCCTTGATAGATTAACGATGCAGTTACAGAGATCCTTACATGTAGAAGTAGAACAACTAAGCTAAGGTATCTTAATTGGTAAGGAATCTTCATTATAAGTTTAACTTTTTATCATGCAACAGATAACCTAAAAATGAATCTTTGGCAGGAGTCTTCAGGGCAGCCCCATACAATTTAAATTTTAAATCGAGTATAAAATAATAAGTCATTCCACTCCTAGATGAAACCACAAAAATTAAAATATCACAGAGGACAAACATAGTATTCAGATATTGATATCAGTTTCCGGACTAATCGGCAGGTTATTTTTCCATTATACTACTAGAAGTTCTCATGCATTCTCCATTATACCATCATGCTGGAGATATGGTAGAAAGATCAATTTACATTATCATTTAAGTAACAGACCCTATTTTTCCGTCGGAAGTTGGAATATAAGATCAATGAAACCTGAATATGAAACGTTTGTTGTAGGACATCTAAGCTGAGGAATTCCACTGGACGAAAACCACTCCATTGGCCACTCAAATGGTGCATCATCATGATTTCCAAAGACAGTGGACCATTGTATTCCTTTCTCTCTTGTTGGAGAAATTGCTTGATCCCAATACAGGCTTGCATTTTCTATTGGTATGTTGTTGGCCGTGATGACATCTCCGAGATAAATCACAAAGTCTGCAATTGTATTTCAACAGGTTATATAAAGGATACAAGTTGTCCTTTCTATCTACTATTCAAACTTATTCTTTAGCTTCCGATGCTTGTAGACGCAAGAATTCCACAAAAAAAAAAAAAAAGTCAAACTTCAAATGAAGTTAACCATTCTGATTCTGCCATGAAAATGCTTAGTAAATTGCATAAAGCCTAAGCAAGAAAGAGTTAAAAGAATTCAAGTCATATTCGTAGTTTCTGAAACATTTCTTAAAATAGTCGAAGTAATCATGATACATAAACATGAATGTTCTGCAGACATTTACCTTCAGCTTTAATTAACGTAAGTTGTAAAGCAAAACTTCCTCAAAACATTACTCAGAAACATGAAATCGGAGTTTCACTGACTCCAACATCTTTCACAAACAAGTTTGTTAGGGTCTATCGTCATGAAGCTCAGAAATTCATGATAATGCTAATGATTTTGTCATCAGATAGAGTGTAGAAGGCCTCCAAAAGTTTCAATCCTAAATGCGACATTACACAGAACTATATCCCCTTCCAGCTCACTTTAGATGTTTTGAGGAAAGGACTAGCAAATTGCAGACTGATAGAGGAAAATTTCTTTATGCATGAACAAGTATTAATCATGACAGCTGATTATAATAGTCAATCAAACCATTGCCGGATATTGGTCAGAGACACGGATTTTAGTCAACTGCACAAAGCTTCGGAGGAAGTGCTTCTAGCACGAATGATCATCTGCATAAGCTTCCTAAAGACCTCCAACAAAATAAACAGGGGCTAACTAGTCCGAAAAGTGAAGTGAGGACATTTGTCAACTTGCAAGATTTGAAGTGACAAGAAATTGCAAACAAAAATGTGGTCGTCCTGCTCAAGTGACAAGAAATTGTAAAGTATTATGCTGCTGCAACATTTTACTTAGGCAATTGCCAATCAAGCTTTTATAGTTCCAACCATCCTTGAAAAATGAAATTAAGAAATTGTATTTGCACCTTAGAGATTCTAGTGACTTAGATGTTGAATAATTCTCCAAAGTAGACATGAAATAAGCAAGCAATAAAAAATATACTGATTTGCATCAACTGCAAATATTGCAGTGAAAACCAGAGAACATTACCTTAACAGGTCCAACATACAAGTTTCAACATACTTGCATGAGAAAAGCTTAAGTTTTTGGCCCACACTGTATAGTGTATAACCTATATACACAAATTATACTAATTGTATACAGAACAAACACAAGCTACAACCCACCCGGGTTGGTGCACCATTTGGGAAGCTTTTAGAGTTCAAAGACTTATGTTTACCTGTTTTCCATCCTATTTTAAAATAGCATCATATCCCACATTTAGTTAAAATCCACTCATCCCTAACTTTTGACTATCAAGAATCAAACTGCTGATATCTAAAAATCTCATTTGACATCTGCTTTGCTGAAATAGCAATAACTACAGTCAAGAATCTTAAACAGTCTTCCTCATTTTCTTTCCTTCGCTGAAAAAACAGAAAAAGGCAAGAAGGGGAGCGAAGAAATGGAAAGGAGATTGGAACGAGAATCGAGCCGGAGTAGTACTAAGTAATTATGTTCTGTTACATCTTTGAGCAAAAATCATCAGTGCCTTAGCCTTCCAAAGTTAAAATTGTAATGCTGTATTACATCTTGAGCAAAAAATTAAGTCATTACGTAATTCTTAAGGGAAAATTTCATTGTAAAGTCTTACATCAATGCTAATTCAATCACCTTGACCGGCATAAAACGCTTAATCCCGATTATCAGTTACTCAGTACCTTACATATCATTAATCAATCAAATCTCCCATATCTAAAGAATAGATGCAAAACGCAAATAAACTTAGAAATAAACTCATGAATAACTGATGAAATGCAAAACAAGAACAAATAGAAAACCTGAGACAGATGTTTCCTTACCTGGGTGCTCTCGATCAAGGACATTGGACATGACTCTGATGGAGTTCACATCTTGTTGCGGGCCCCAATCAGTCCAAGCATCCTCACCAAAATGCAAGTCAGCAAAAATAGCAATCTTAAATGTTGAACCCCGAGGCATCTGCAGATAATCTCCTGGTTTGGTCCGTAGATTAACTGCTGTCAGCTCAGATGGCCCCGAACTGACGGTCAGGATCATCAGTTGGATTACTATTTCCAAAACCCAGTAATAAAATGATAGAATCGATAAAGGGTTTTTCGCAGAATTCTTGTTGGCCATCACCAAAATGTTTCCTCAGTTTATCACACACATGCATACACAGAGACAAGAAGAAGAGCCGTTAGGTGGGAATGGTGCTTAACTAACTTACCAGCTGCTCAATGGTTGATTAAATAGCTTTGATTAGTGAACTGTTCATTGACTAAACTACCCATCCATCTTTTGGTTGATTATATGTCATTACATTTTGTACTTGTCTTCTCAGTAATAGAGTATTGGAGATTTTACTGTTATTTTGTTGTTTTTCAATGGTGCTGTGGGATCAGACATTACAAAAAGACAAAATATTGTTCTCTAAATTATAAGTTCTGAACTTGTAAGAGAAAACAAATTTTAATTTGGCCTTTGACTGCTTACTACAACAACTGATTGTATTTGGTAGGATGGTTGTTCTTTGTATTTGGTAGGCTATCTAGTCTAGGGTAAAAAAAAAAGGTAAATGTGAAAAGCATTTTGTGGTTAGTACACTTTTTCTATCTATCATTTAACACTATTTATTTTCCAAATAATTTTGTTAATTTTATTTTTCTCGTTTTGATTAAGTTAAATGCACGATCTCAAATTCAGTCCTTCACATGTAAGTAAGGTCAAATTTAATTATTGCATCTCTTATTAGACAGACTCTTCTATTCTGCTTTTTAAGGCACAAAATAAAGAAGCGAACCTATTAATCCTAAATCATAGCACTAATCTTGGAACGGTAAAACGTCATACATCTTGCCTTGAACTAAGAGGTTTTTTTACCTCCTCATTACACCTCCGCATGCTACCAGTTGGTAAGTAGGGTATTGATTTTTTTTTTGTCAAAAGGTAAGTAGGGTATTGATTGCTCATGTAAAATCCATAATGGCTATACTTGTCAATTCACCGAATGATGCTTGTCTGTTTGTGCTACCGTCGGGAGGAATATGCAGGGGATCAAGAATCAAAAAATCCTTTCTTTGCTTTGAATTTCAGCAGCAAATGCTTAGGCGGGCCTTTTCTTTTCTTTTAGTTTTTAAAAAAAAAATCTTTCAGACATGTACTCCCTCCGTCCCACTCTGATAATCCTGTATTTTTTTTTCATCTGTTCCAAACTGTAGACCACTTTCCAATTGAAGAATGTAGTTGTATTTTAATTTTTCTAAAATACCCTTATTCAATGTAAGTAGTTCTTACTATAAACCTACCCCATTTAATGAAAGTTGATTCTTTTTTTTACCATCAATTCAAGTTCCCATAAAGTTGTACCATATTTAATGTGAGGATATTTTAGGAAAATAGCAATCTAAATTTACTTTTCCAACAAAGTTAACTACTTTTTTTTTAAACTGTGTAAAAAAAGAAACAGCACTATCAAAGTGGGATGGAGGGAGTACGATTTTATCCTGTGTCATTTTGTCAACTATGGTTCTTTTTTTTTTTTTTCCAGAATTGTCAACTATGACTCGCTTCATCAAAATCATTTTCATAAATAGCACTCGACATTGGCATCACTCGAGTAATCACTCGAGTTATAGCTTTTGAAGCGGAGGAAACCAATGATATCACCCAACAAATTTTTTTGTAAGTTGAAATCTACGCTAGCTAGCTAATATGCGGGGCAGGCGGCGGGGAAAGCGCAGAAAGAACTAGTTGGTCACCTGTTGAATCTAGACTAATATTTATTATCATTAACTTTACTAAAATGAGTGCATAATTTTGAAAATGTATGCAGACTTGGCAGCACAATTTATTTCTCTTATTGCTTTACCAAGAAAAGAAAATAGAAAATTATCCATGTCTAAAATGACTCTTCGTATCCTCGGCCGCATCATTCCTGCCACACAATAAAATTTATTCTCTTTAGTTTCCTTTAGTTTCTAGGCTAGCCTAAGGTTTGGTTCTCAGTTTTAGTTTGACAATATGCAAATTGTATAATGCATTTACAGCGCTTGATTTTGCTGTGATCTTCCCTGCTTGAAGAAGATATAGGATTTGTTTATTACGTACATTCTTTGTTTGATTGCAGTTTTTTTTTTTCTCTTTTGGTGAATGAAAAGTTTAAATGGATTCGAATCCTGTCTTCACTATGGGCCAGGACATACTTCTGGAACCATAAATTGCTTATAAAGATTCTTACCAATCGCTCATCGACACAACCTAGGACATACCTCTGAAATCATAAATCGCTTACAGAGATTCGCTCATTGACATAACCTTCACATCAGTAATGGATTTTAAACATACAATCTTTTGTGAGAAAGTGACCCATCCTTGCTAATTGAGCCAACTTGTATTGACAGTTGAGCCAACTTGTTTTGGCTTATTTGATTGCGATGAATAATATATCCAATGAACCCAAAAATTTGTTGGGAGAGAAATGGGTTGGATGATACGAAAGGAGAAAGTATGACTGAGAAATCTCGGGAAGATTTGGGTTCCACACCTCCCACTTACACACACTAAAAAAAAGAAAAGAAAAGGAAAGAACCCAAGAATTTGTTATTTTCGCAAATCATGATTCAAAGTATTATTCGTCTTTGCTTTTCGTTCAATTAAGATCTGTAACTTCCAGTTCGAAAGGGAACCAATTTTGTCATTGTTAAATTTGCACATTAGCGTCATACAAGTCGAGTTAACCATTAATAGTATTGTTCAATTCTTTTTTCTTTTTCTTTTTCTTTTTTTTTGGCTGAAATCCAAGAACTTTATTTGTGCCAATTCCCTAAAATGAAGAAATTACTAGTTATACGAGAAAAAGAAAGCTTAGTGGATTTAATCCTGCTAATATATCAACTGCTGTACAAGTTAATTATAGACCAGTGTAATCTCACCAACAAAAGAGAAGTTTAAGTATTAGGGTTCTTTCTTTTTGTTAAAAAAAACGATGTGTCTATATATATTTATTTATTTATTTTGTCTGATTTATCCTAATCCCTTGTGTTGTTTATGATCATTCACGTTGGTTATAGTTGAAAAATAAAACAGTTGAGCTTATCATTACGAATCGATTCCCATATTTAATATGGGACTTAACTTTAGTTATACAAATGAAGGAAAAAAGATGGTATAACTCATGAGTATAAATCAATGTCCATCATGGCCTGAATATTCCCAAAAAATAATGGCAAAATAGATTTTTTTTTCCACCATTTAAGCATGAACTGAAGTAAATTGCAACTTAAATTTGTTTAGATGTACGAAATAGTGCAAAAAATAACATTATTGTCTTTAATGAATTAGTAAAATCTTTCAAAACGTGCATATCGAAATGATAAACAGATCAATTCATGCTCTCCTCCAATAACATTATGACCATTTTCCATTGATGAGGGGATGGAAAAAATTTCTGGAAAATGATATCCGTATATTTTTTTTTTTTTTTGGATTTTATTGCATTAAGATTTTTCATGCAAAATATTTTGGATTAGTGAAAGTTAGCAAGCGTAAAACATTGGTTCTGTTTCTCTTTTTCGATAAAGGTAAAGCATGCTTACAGATCAAAGCCACAAACAGCGAAGTCCACTTTTTTTTTTTTTGCCCCTCCTATCCCTTCCCACACTCTCCTTTCCACCCTCACAGGATTTGAGTCGTAAATCTGAGCACTCTAAAAGCTCTCTCCCTTGGCCACTGGATCAATCGAGTGATCATTGCGATGTCCACATTGCTCACTTTTTTTTGTTATTTTTTAATAAGGTCTGTCTAGCTAACGAGTGTCCATTGAACACTTGTTAAGACTTAATTCAGGTAATGATAGATTGAGCGGTGATTAAAGTGTGTTAACTAGTATTCATTGGGCATCCGTTAAAAAAAATCTTTTTTTTTTATAAACGAGAAAATCCATGTTATATTATCAATTTAATAATGCATTTTTAATTATTTTATTAAATCCTTTTAATTGAAAAGTGCCAGAATCAAATTTTGCATGTACAAGGTTTAAATCCTCTCTCTTGTTGGCCAACTCATTTTGAATCCATTTTGCTCCCACCGAATGAAGATAAATTTGCATTAATCTTTCATCAAGTGATATCCTTGCATTGTACGGATGAAAATGGGGCCATAATTTACACTATAATTAAGATTAGAAGACCTCTATATTTAGTCAAATAAAGAATATTATCGTATAATCCTGTAAAGATATCCAACATGGTTCATGATTTGATATGTCTCACAAACTGCCACGTTGCAGAATATATTATTCACATGTAATTGAAACCCCTCAAAAAATAAATAATAAAAAAAAACCACAAAAGTTAAAATGGACTACGAGGAAAGTACTCCTTAAGTTATTATGGAAAATTCCACATAAACATGCGACTTAAATACCTTTCGACCGACCTAAGGTTGTCCCTTAATTATCAAGATTAACAACTTGCAAACACGTCTAATGACGTTCGGACTGAACATCACTCGCTGTTGCTTTTAATATGTAGCGCGTGTAGTCATCGTTTTGTAGGAATTTTGTTGTTCATTTGCAGGTTTTGTCCTCCAACTTTACAACGGGAACCATTTTGACTCTAACATTCCACACAAAGTGGCACCGAAGTGATACGTCTGCCACAAGGCCTACCAGTTTCATGACATGAGATTTCTACGAGCATCGCTAGGCCATCTTACATACTATATATAAAGCCAGAGGGAGAGGTTCGTAGTTCGTATAGACAAAATCTGTCACTTGATGTTTTGTCAAGTATACTCCTATTTCTTAATGCAATGACATCATTTTAATTACTTGTTTCCCTACAATCGCTTCACATCCTTACATTTGTTGAATTAATTGTCACTTTAAGTAAAGTATTTTAACGTATAAGTTTTTTAGACATTCAAACAAGTTCATCTAAGATGTGGAGTCAAATTTTAACCACTAACAACACATAACTATTCTTTTTAAAAACTAATGATGAGATCAAGAAGCTTCTCTCTTAACATCATACGTACCTTGATGGCGTCTATATATGCAAAGAAGCATGAACTCAAACTTAAAACTCATTCTGTATGTAATTGTTACAATTACATTTTTATTGAATATGTACTCTCTTTTCCTTTTTTTTCCTTTCATAAATATGTACCTTCGTATCACGTGTTTCAATCTCTGAAACATACATCAGCAATATTGT